GGCAATTGGTGTACACGTATATTACATTTTTAAACAGAAACTAATGACGTCTTACACAAAAATGTAGGAAATCCCCATTGATTTATCCGTACTCGTACTTCACGCTCCTAGAAATAATAAGTCGAGGCGTGTCCATAATACTATGCATATCTTTGGTATAACCAGAGACGAACCCATGTGTTATACGGAAGCAACTAACGACGATTTCACGTTTCAAATAAGCAAGCAAAAAACGTAACAGGAGGGAATAGATTAAAAAGGGGGAATTACACAATGATGGGCGCTTATTAGATCCCGGCTCTGGGGTAACTGGCTTGCATATATTGGTCGGTTTCGTGAGAAAATTAGTTTCGTATTTTCGGAGATAACAATAGACTTATCAGCTCCGGGAAAAACGAAAGATTTCAGCTGATCAAGGAGTTACTAGAATTTGGGAATGTTAAGTTAACATTCTTATACCGTTTTGCAGAACTTAAATAACTTTTAACACACTGACATAAAAGAGTCCCGTCACAAATCGATTTTTAAGAGGATGGCCTCACAGAAGACCAAACAAAATGGCGGCGGCGGCCTTAGCAACGAACCTCAGAAACAGAGAAAACGACCCCCCAGTGCCAGATTAGAGACTAAAACGTCAGGAAAGAGGCTAAAGGATGATGAAAGAATAGTAGCAAGCCAGGAAAGTCAAGAATTCACATCACCATATAATAGTGAAGATGAAAGCGCGGAGAGTCAATGGCTCTGCCTACTGTGCATGGGCGTATTCACCGATACGGAGGCCAAAATGCTCGAGTGCGAGCGGTGCATGGAGCATTTCTGCATTGAATGCTTGGGAAAATCTGACAAGGAGTATTCCTTTCTCCAAAAATCAGATTCAATGTGGTTTTGCAATAATTGCAAACCACATGTAAAAATTAACATCAAAACCGATATAATTAAGAAGATTGAAGAGATGGTAAAGGGCATTACGGAGGGATATGAAGAGAGGTTCTCGCGGTTGGAACAACAAATATCTTCCAAGTGTGATGAGGAGACAGTGAAAAAAAATCATTGTTAAAGAAATAGAAAAGAAACCAGGAGTGCAGCAGATAAAATGTGATGAGGAGAAAGTAAGGAAAATCATTGCAGAAGAAAAAGCAAAGGAACCATTAAGTGTACAGCAAGGTAAAAATAAGGAACCGGGTAGCGTGCAAACAATCATGACGGAAATAAATGAGAGAAAATCAAGGGAATGCAATGTAGTTATATACGGAGTAGAAGAAAAGGACACCAATTTAAGGGAGGAAAGAATATCCCACGATTCTGAGGCTGCAAACAAAATCCTCGGCAACTGTAAAGTTAGAGAGGAGGACAATCTAAAATGCATCAGGCTTGGGAGATTCACCAAGGAAGGGGATAAAATAAAAATAAGGCCCTTACTGGTAACATTAGCTAATCTTGAAGCGAAAAAAACAACTGTTCAAAAATGTGAGGTCACTTGGAGACCACGAGGAATTAAAAAAATATAGAATTAGCAATGACCTTACTAGGGCAGAAAGGGACCAAGAGAAAGTGCTATGGGAAGAAGCAAAAGCAAAACAGGGAAACACCTCATCGGGGGAATATGTCTACAAAGTAAGAGGTCCGCCATGGGCAAGGAAAGTAATCAAAATAAAAAGGAACTAAGATTGAAACAGAAGCTTCACCAACAAGAACGATTAAAGTTTTTCTATACAAATGCTGATCAACTAAAAAACAAATTAACAGAACTTAACTCCAGAATTAAAGATAACAATCCGGATATTATAGGCATCACAGAAGTGAAAGCCAAGAACAGACTTCAGGATATGACAGTATCTGAATTTTCTGTCGAAGGAAAACTAGAGTACCAAGTGTTCAGTAGAAATATTGGGAACAACATAGGAAGAGGCATGATACTATTCATCAATAACCTTTTATCTGCGTCAGAAGTGGTCATGGAAACTGACTTTCAAGAGAATCTTTTTGTAGAGGTTAAGCTGAATAGAAATAAGAAACTTTTCGTAGGGCTAATATATAGGTCAGACTCTGGTTCAGCGGAGAACAACAATAAATTACAACTACTACTAGAGGAAGCAAATAGAAAAGGTTTTTCTGATATGTTGATAATGGGAGACTTTAATTACCCGAACATTAATTGGAACACATGGAATACACATAGCAATAGCACTGAAACTCAAGAATACAAATTCATCCAAAAATTACAAGATAATTTCTTCTGTCAACATGTTGATCAACCTATCAGATGGAGGGGTAACGATAACCCTAATATATTAGATCTTATATTAACTAAGGAAGATACCAACATTTCGAACATTGATTACCTAAGCCCGCTCGGAAAAAGTGATCACTGTGTTCTGTCGTTTACTGTAGAGTGCAAGTTCACCACAATCATCAGAACAAAAGTCAAGAAATGCTACAATAAAGCAAATTTTCAAGAAATTAATAGGGAAATCAACAATATTTCTTGGAAGGAGATAATAAATGAATCAAACAGTGTAAATGAAAACTGGGAATTATTCAAGAGGAACATTAAAGAGATAGAGGACAAACTTGTGCCTACAAAAGTTATAAGGATTGGGAGTAACAACGCTGTAAGTTTCCCTGCAGATAAATCCACGCTGGAACTGATTAGGAAAAAACACTCACTTGCAAGGAAAGCATTCACAAGTAAAGAACCAGAAGCACGGAAGAATTACAACAGGATAAGGAACCAAGTAAGAATTCGAACTCGCAACCTTCGGAAAGAATTTGAACATACTTTAGCAACCAAAGCAAAAACTAATCCTAAGGCTATATGGAGATACATTAATTCAAAGTCGAAAGTTAAAGCTGGCATTGGTGAGTTATACAGCGAACCAGAAAACAAAAATTCTCCAAAGGTTACAACAGACAAAGAGAAAGCAGATGTCCTTGCCAATTTTTTCAGTAAAGTATTTGTATCCGAACCCACTAATGATGATATACCAAGAATTCCAAACAAAACGACAACTGTGGACATGATACCACTCCATATCAATAAACAGCAAGTGCATGAGTATCTTTCTAAGCTGAAACCAGATAAGTCACCAGGACTTGATGAAATACATCCCGCATATCTAAAAAACACAGCGTGCTCTGTAAGCAGACCAATATCAATTCTTTTCAACCAATCACTATCAACTGGGGACCTACCACTAGATTGGAAAAAAGCAAAAGTTTGTGCCATTTACAAGAAGGGCGACAAAAGCGAAGCCGGAAATTACCGCCCTGTAAGCCTGACATCAGTGATCTGTAAGATTATGGAGAGTATTATAAGGGAACATATAACAAAACACATGAGGATTAATGATTATTTTTCAACGAAACAATACGGATTTATAACTGGAATATCTACTTCTCTTCAGCTACTGGAGGTGCTAGACAAATGGACGGAAGCACTTGATGAGGGCCATGCTGTTGATTGCATATATATGGATTACAAGAAGGCTTTCGATACCGTTCCTCATCTGCGTCTAATCAACAAGCTTGTCTCTTATGGGTTATCAAAACAGTTGATATTATGGATTTCAAACTTTTTACAAGGTCGCCAACAAAGGGTTACAGTGAATGAAGAAGTCTCAGATTGGCAAAATGTTACTTCCGGTATACCTCAGGGATCAGTCTTGGGGCCACTCCTTTTTGTCATCTTCATCAATGAACTGCCAGACTTGGTGAACTCATAAATGTACCTTTTTGCAGATGACACTAAGATATTCAAAATTTTGTCTAAGGAGGGAGATTCAACAAAACTGCAAAAAGACTTAGATATTATGTGTAACTGGAGCGAGGAGTGGCTGCTGAAAATGCACCCGGACAAGTGCAAACATATGCGTATAGGAACACATACAGATATGGCTATATACCATCTAAATGGAAATCAACTTCAGACAACATCGAAGGAGAAAGATATTGGAGTTATTTTTGAGTCTGACTTGAGTTTTGAAAATCATATCAGTGAGAAAGTGAAAAAAGCTAACTCAATGTTTGGGATGCTAAGAAGAACTTTCCAGTTTATGGACATCAAATTATTCATTCCATTATATAAATCGCTTGTTAGATCCCAGCTAGACTACGCAAGTGCAGTATGGTATCCCTACAAATACAAATATATAGATCTTATTGAAAATGTTCAAAGAAGAGCAACGCGGTGCCTACCTGAATTACGGAATTTATCATATGAAGAAAGATTAAAAACACTAAAACTGCCTACCTTGGCCTATAGACGCTTGCGAGGTGACATGATCGAGATATATAAAATGATCAGCGGAGTGTACGACAAAGAGTGCTGTACATGCATAAAGTTATGGGAGAACATGTCCGATAAACACAGTGTTAGAGTAAACTCAAAAAAACTTTTTCCACAAAGAGCTAAATCTAAACTAAGAAGTAATTACTTTCTGTGAGAGCAGCACGCATTTGGAACACATTACCAGAAACTGTTGTATCTGCCTCAAACACGAACTGTTTCAAAAATAGGCTTGATAAGTTATGGGAAAACCAAGATATCATTTTTAATTATAGAGCTGATATATCAATATAGAATGTCTTAATAGTAATTCAACGGAACTAAAAGCTGGACATATTATTTTGATTTGTACATACTATATTTATTATATGAAATATCATGTATATATATTGTATGTTTTTTGAGACCAGAGTAGAGGATAGGTATATCCTGTTCTGGTAATAAACTTAACTTAACTTAACTTAATTTAACTTAACTTAACTTTTCAGACAGTTCAATTGTTACACACCTGAATAAATACAATTTTACCAACGTGTAATTAATGGGTGATCTACCTATCTCGTAGATTGAGACTTAACTGATCGGTTGACTTGTGGATGATCATTTTATAAAATGTGAAACATGGAAAACAATATAAAACAAACCTACCGGAAATTTTTATCCGCAATTTTCCCCGTTATTACATGATGACTTCCTACTTCCGGTAGTCGACAAGATGGATTTTCACAAAACGTGTGTGGTAGTTGGTCTGTTGGCCATGGCACACGCTGCTTACTCAGCTGCACAACGTAAGTTTAAAATAACTGTAACTTTGAAAACTTATTTTTGGTATTAACGGTTACCTTCTACACGGATTGATCTGATTCTGATGTCAGCTTTTATCTCGCATGCCGCTGACAATGCCGGTTCTGAACGAATTCATTTTCAGTGTCGCATTTCCACTTCGGGACAACACGGGCTTTGATATCGATAAATTAAAGTCCGTGACAACAATAATCATATCAGGATATTTTAAGTCAGTTTCATTCAAAAAAACCATATGGCGAATAACAAAGTCTGGTTTCAGCAAGCAGGTATTGATAAGTATAATGCATCATCAATATGTAACAACGATATAGTTTTATTATACTGCATGGTCTAGATGCATGGAATGAGAGGCCAATGCTATTAATCAAACACATTTACAGTATGATCTGTGCATCATTAAAATGGTCAACAACATGCTTAGAACATCAAAATTTAGAAAATACACTGAAATCCGACACATCCTCTCAACCAAGAAATTAAAAATGTTCTCCATATCTAATGGATTCATTACGTTGGTGTATCGGTGAACAGCCATATATGAAATTAATCTTAAACACTTTCAAGAAATTGTCATAATCTTCACTAATCCAAAGGGTTCAGACTACATCTATCTATATCTTTAAAAAAAAAATGTTCTGGACACAAATTTACAAAAGCCGAATAGTACTACATGAAAAATATAAATGATCTTGTTATTACAACTTAAGTTGTCTCGTTATTATGAGATGATGTAAGTTGTAATAACAGGATAACTTAACTCCTAATAATCAGATAGCTTAAGTCGTAGTAACAGGATTTATCATGTAACTGGCATTGCTGTTGTTGGAATACACCTGCAACATAATTTAACAGAATTACTCTTTGGATTTACTTAAATATTACATTTACAAATATGAATAGTTGTTGAAATAAGCAATTTTACATGTTGTAATGACTAAGTTGATCTATGAAAATTCATAAAATCGCTGTTGTATCCGATGAACTTTGGAAGTATGTTTCTGTGCTGAGCAATTAATTGGCATCCGTCATGAGCAAAATTCAGTATCAGGTATACTCAGATTGAACAACGATACTGTTTAAGTTTCAATAGTATGATTTTCAGTCAATGTTGAAGGATGAAAAGAATTTGTGGTAAGCGTCTTAAAATTTAAGTTGCATTTTGGCTCGGGACAGAAAGACAAAAGTGGCGAGCTGCAAAATGCAGCGTATATTTTAAGACACTGACCATATATTCTCTATAACTTAACTCAAAATAACAAGATAGCTTAAGTAGTAATAATGAGATAACTTACATGTACATAGTAACTTGTTATAATGAGATAACATAAATCGCAATAATGAGATGATTTTTTTCTTTTTCTTATGGTACTAATCGGCTATCTCTATGATCAGTATCTAATTATATGTGTATGTATTTTTTCACCTTCGTGTGCATAGGATTATGATATGACGAAAAGTCCTGTCAATTTTGTGACAGTCTTTTACACTCTTCTCTTTAGTGTACATACCCATCATTTGTTATTTATCTGATGATCATGAGGGTAGTTCAATTCATAGAAGTTACTTTGTCTTAAAAACATATTTCTTTTTGTTTACAGACAGATCCTATCTGAGATTAACAGAACAGGAATTCACGAAACTTCCAATAGATGTAAGTAACTTTATGGAAGGAACATTTGAAGTGAACAAACATATCATTTCGTGCTGGTATAAGAATTTACGTAAAGACACTAGTACTTACAATCTCTGATATTTATTTTTTGCCTTTTGAAGTATGCGCTTAACCAATGCTGGCATATCTCACTATAGCGAAACTTCAGAACATTTCTTTAAATAAAGATCATTTAAAATTCATTATGCATGTATTCACATCACTGAAGATTATAAGACATACCAACATTGTCAAAAACCAAGGGCACTAACTGCACAGTATGTTTATGCATACAATTGGGTAATTACAGATACAAAACAATATACAAAAATATTACAATTGATCCTGCCACACATGAGTTATAAAGTTTGAACATGATATTTTTATTTGCCATTGAAATTCAGTCTACCAGAGATGAAAAATTTCCGCTGATCAGCGGATTTCTGCCTTTTTCATGACAAATTTGGTCATTTTTGAGATCAATGCAAATCTGCTGAGAAAATTTCGGGGGTGGGGGGTTAGGTATGTCTTGATGATGCATTTTATTTTTCAGCAATCTTCAACAACTCCGTTCGTAAAACCTTCGATTTATATGCCCTTATAAACTGTAAAATCAAACATTGAGTAGTTACGAGCACCGAGTTTCCGGTATTGTCAAATCGATAATACGAAGGAATGTTTGAAAGCTATAGTTGAATTACAACAGTGATGAAAAATTTCCGCCGATCGGCGGATTTCCACCTTTTCCAATGCCAGCCACTTTCATCTCTGGTCTACACTTAGTTTGTCTTGCTGACAGGTCCACATGAAACCCACATGTCACTTAGCTTGCTATCATTAAGATATGATAATAGATGATAAACATGTGTATGTGATGTAGGTAACAAATTTGATTTTGCTTTTTTGACAGATTATAATCCAGTGTTTTGTTGGTCTGTTTCTGACATGTTATGGAGTTGTACATATATCAGGGAATTTCAGAGAAATACGGGCAAGCTCAGAGCAAGATAGCAAGTAAGTCTTTGTACATGTAAATCCTTCCCTACAAATTAGGAAAAGATAATTAATTGCAACATACTCGTCTTGAAGTTTCCATACAAATGTATTTTCTTTCTAAATAACTTCCACACAAAGTAAACAATGAAATAGCTATGATTTTTATCAATGATGTTTGAAAACAAGGGAGTTTAGTTGCCTTACACAATTACATGTAAAGAGAAAACAATATTGAAGAATCAACACACTCTGTGTCTAAAATTGTGACATGAATGGATACCTAAGGTATTCTGTAGAACCCCTTACAATGTGGTCAACATAATGAAAAATTATTCCATATATGAAACTTGAACAAGTGTTCCTGGATGTTGAGAAACAATTCTAAGAAACATTTTTAGCACCGTATGTATAATTTATAAGAATAACTTCTCAATGATAGAATTTTCTTTTTCTTTTTTTTTTACAGAACTTGGGATATGGTGAGTAATAGACAGTCATTTTACTGTTTTAATCACCGTGGAAAAGCCATGTTTCCACGAAGGGATGCCAATTCTAATGGATAACGCGAACACAGATTGGACATTAGCCAGCTACTGTATGAGGATTTATCAAGGAAGGAACTGATAGACTTTTGACATCAAATTTTCATTTTAAAATATGGTTCATGTATTGGTCCCAACAGTTTGTAAACTGAAGTGATATATCTTAATATAATTGAAACCATTGCAGTTGTTGGTGTCGATTACTCAGAAAACAGCTGTTTTATGTAACGGGTTATGATAAGATTTGTATGAAGCATGTAATAAGTCTTGAATGTTTGAGTATAACCCTAAACATTTTGACCTCCCAACCCTACCCATGAAACAAACAAAAAAAGAAAAAATAATCCCCACAAAATGAAAAAAAATAAACAAAGTAAGAAATAAAAAAAAAAAGAAGCTCACTCGAGCATTTCTAATTTATACACAGAAGATGGTAGATATTTATTTGTATTTATGATTTATGTTTTTAGTCTCTGGCAAGCTAAAAGTGAGCATGTAACTTTATCATCATGGGTTGTTAGGCCTAAGAATATTGAATGAAATCGTGAGCAAGGATTGGTGCTTGTAGTTATGGACATATATGTATATATTATGCAGTATGTATGGGTATATTCACGTACAAAGTAATTAAAGTAGTTTGGGAAAGTAATATATATTAAGCAGTATGTGTGTATTATAAGTATGTATGATGACTGTTTTGATTAAAATCATTTTAAGGTAATCCTTATCTATTCCACTTGATATTTTTCTGTTTTGTGCTTTTAGTCCACCATTATCCATTGTCGATGGTTGGCTATTCAAATGGCCCTATTGTATGTCTGTGCTTCATCATTCATCCTTCTCTCCATTAACAACTCTTGCTATCAATAAATTTTTCAGAAGTAATGAATGAATCTTAGTTTGAGTGTATGCCTATATAACCTTGTGTCAAAGACCGGAGGTGCCTAGTTCTACAATCTTTACCCATGGTGGTTTGTGTTTCTCAGGAGGCTTACAAACTGATCAGTCTGTGCTGACAGGGTTTGCGATTGGCCTCCTGTATTTTGTTCAGTGAGGTAGCCACCAGCTACTGACCCTGGGTGTTCAGGGCAATAAACCAAACAAACCATGCACCAATATAAAAAGGGGAGGGAGATGTAGGGGACTGATAGGCATCCATCCTGGATTTCTTGAGAAGTGCTGGATGTACCTTTAATTTTCACATTATTCATTAGTTGTGCACTAGTGTTTTTGGGACTGGTAAGAAAAGAACAAAATGATAACAGGTGGTCATCTTGGATTTTGACAATAAAAGATTGTTATTGCTCTTTCATTGGAAGTTCCTATTTGTGCCCTTTTGCTTTTGGGACTGACCAGATAAAAAAAAATTACCAACCGGTGGCCATCTTGGATTTGGCTGTTGGAAATTATTATCACTACTTCTTCAGAGGAATTTTTGAATAATGAAGAGCAAAAAGCAAAGAATTAAACACTGAAATGAACACTGAAATGAAGCAATAGTGGGTGCCATCTTTTGTTTCAATATAAGGTAATTAGATTTACACTATAAATAATTAATATTGAGCATTCCCATTCAAGATATCTTTCAGTATTGACAAAACATAAAAGATATGCCTTTCAATATTGGCCAAACAAATGAGAGATATCTTTCAGTAATGGCCAAAGATAAGAGAGATATCTGTTAGTAATGGACAATCACAATGCAGATATATTTCAGTGTTTTGCTGTGTTCAGAGCCAGATTACATGAAAGAAATGTGTGCTTTTTGGGACATCTTTAGTAAACAAGTGTAACTTACCAGGACATCTACCGCATTGTTCAATAGTACTGTTGTTACTTTTTTGTTGTTCTATTCAAAAAGAATGTAATAAAAATGCTAGGTTTTTAGTTGAAAATTATTACTAAAGATATTTGACACTAGTAACTACAGGTGTTCTGACTTGCATCTGAAATATTAATGGTATTGGACACAGCCATGAAACAATATCTCTTGTCCAACATTATAGAACAGTTGACTGTGGATTTTTTATGAAAAGGCATGAAATATTGTACATTTGAGTAAAATTGTGTGCATGAAGTGAATTGGTCCATGTTTGTAAATGAAATAAAAATATAAAAATATATGAAATGTTATCATTGTATTCTCTTGAAGCATGTATGACATGATCGATATTCTAAAACTATGGAGAAAAGGGTTGTGCTTTTAGCTTTAGGACACTTTCAGAGGATAAAGTGCTGGAACCATTCCTCGGGATGATATCTTAAACAATGACATTACAAGATCTCCGAGATCCTGTGTTTAAAATGTCAGATATCTATTGTGTAACTAGGTATATTTAGGAGTACACATTCAGGTGTTCACAAGCTAGATTTGCTTGTGGTATGCTTACCATTATTTCCACTGGTCTTCTAGAATGGAACACGTATATGACCCAGGGACGGCATGTTTTGGATGGATTGAAGAAAAGTTTGAGATCTTAACTTTAGAGTGGATGTGCCAAGGTACATGAAGATACCAATACCTAGTTATATTATAATTAGTCCTGGAGTAGGTCCAAAATAAGGACCTAGAAATTCTATTGTCTACCCCAAATGTTAAGTTAATTAACTTAGCAACAAGTTAATTAACTGGCTTTACTCTAATTCTTAATTTGTATCAAGTACCATTCGCTTTGGAGTCTTTTGTACAATCTGGTCAACAATGTCCTGGAAATTTGCCTCAATAGGATTTTCCACAGTCGCCTCCCATGTTTCCGGTTCAGAATATACACTTGCATGTGACATGTTTTGGAAAGTATCAGATATGTGAAAATTATGATATGGGTTTAATCGTCCTGCTGTCTCCATTGTATGATTTGTGATGGACAACTAAATTTGGGATTGGATCTTTTCTAAACTACAATTATAATAGTATAGTTTTTCATATTCTACTTGACACCGTCTCCCTTGTGACCTTTAGTTGACCTTTGACCCCTTTGAGAAAGGATTTCCGTTCTGTTCCCCTGACCTAGACACATCGGGAATCTTTAAAATGGTAGTTACTAGTCCATGCTTAACACTTTGGATATGGTAGTGCAACAACTGGTTTACCTATTGCCAGTACAATGTGATCGGGCTGGTTGTTTCACTGGGTGTTCAGCGTAGAAGCACTATAAACTTGGCACTAGTTTCACATCACAACAAGACTTATATGAAGAGTGTGAGAAAGATGATGTCCAGGGATGAGGGGAACAACTGACAGACATTTTTATAGTTCCTATCACAAGGGCATGGATATGACAGCATGATATCAATGTGTTCATATTAAACTCACAATGGCCGAACCCGTCATTGTGCATCCATTGTAATTCTAACGACAAGAAATGAGCACAAAGTGCCTGTATCATTAAATGATTTTAGTATGTCATGGCTTCGGGGACAGAACTAGTCTTGTCCACTTGAACAGATGCTCAACCAGAAGGATCAGGAAGAACAAATGTCTACTGTTCTAGACGTATTTATTTCTCTATGATTTCCACAGACATCTTTGGGAGTATAGCATCAGTTACGAGTCCTAGAAAGACACAGTTTAATTAATTTCACAGACATCTTTGGGAGTATAGCATCAGTTACGAGTCCTAGAAAGACACAGTTTAATTAATTTCACAGACATCTTTGGGAGTATAGCATCAGTTACGAGTCCTAGAAAGACACAGTTTAATTAATTTCACAGACATCTTTGGGAGTATAGCATCAGTAACGAGTCCTAGAAAGACGCTGCTTAATCCATTTTTTTGCACCATATGTGGTATTGGAAGGTGCTTTTAACCTGTTTATTTTGAAAAATTCTTAAGAAAAGAGATTTTTATAAAAGTAAAAGTGTATCTTCCATTAAATAGGGCAGTAGGTATGATTATTACATGCTACTTGTATCAACATAATCATTGATGTACTGCTAGATAACAATATATACAGATAACACAAGATACAATCTCTAATGGATTTTGTTTATTTACGAAAATGCATCACGGGCATTCTTGCACAGAGACGGTGCCATCTCTCATTTACTTCAACAGCTACACAGGTACAGGTACTAGACTAATATAGAAGGCGCTCTGATAGAATCGAACACGCCAGTAGTTGTACAATAATATATCACTTGTAGTGATACAATAACCAGGAGCATATACCTTTGTGTAAGAGGATAAACTGTAAACAGAAATTTCGTTCATGAAATGTAACGACAAGACCCACAAGTCATACATATACAAAAGTAAAAATCTGAATGTCCCTAATACAATGGCATTGAATCAAAATACCAAAATTTTTTTTAAACAAACCTTGAGTTGGTTGTAATTCAGTAGATTTTATCTCCGTTTCGGTAAAATGCTAATATGACTGTACAACTACGGCAATTGGTAATGTAATAAACACTACACATTTGATAAATTACATTAAGGAGGTATGCAACCAAAACTTTTCAAACATGTTCTCTTGTAGAATTCTACAATTAAATCTTAAATGGTAAATGTCATTAAGGAGGTATGCTACCAAACATTTCAAACATGTTTGTTTTTTTTATAAAATTATCAAACTACCAAAATTTGATAACTGTCAACATATTTCAAAATCCAACTTAAATTCTATATACATATTCTATATCTTACCAAATCATTGAAAGTGTTTCTTAAGACAAGTGATGATGGTATAGCGAGATTATGTTGTCGTACATGGCTTACATTGAAATACATGTCCAAGGAAGGTAGCATATCATCTTAACAGATTTATCAAGTAGATCTGTTTACTACAGTTACCAACAAAGAAAACCATTTTTGTACTTAAACCATAAAGAATAATATTAAGAATTTATGTGATATTTTCATATTTGAAATATATTGTTATGGACTTGAGCCATAAGTCTTTACAAAAGAATAATTTGTAGTTGTAAATATTTGTATAAAGCATCAGAAACAAAATATACGCATACAAAAGAATAAATTAGAAAGACATACCTATACATTGCAATTGCTTGCTTGTGAAGAAAGCATTAAAAGCTCGTAATATACATTATGCATGTAAAATAATACCAAAATCGTCAAAACATGTCAGACAACGACATACTTGGCATAATTACGTAATACTATGCAGAAAAGTGCATCGTTTACATATGTATCATTGTATCCTGAAAATCACATGACAATCACTCTTCGTTCAGTAAAGGATACTGTCAATCAGGATAGTGTACAGCTGAGTACATGTGTACTACACACTCTTCCACTCTCATTGCGATTGTCTTCACATTGTCCAAAAGATGTTATGTTCACCATTGTATACCAAGTTAAAATGAACTCTGTGTACTATTTTCTAGGTTAAAATGTGTAGTAATAATGAATGGAGCCAGAAAATATTCTCTTTTTACTTTTCAAAATATTGATGTATAAGGTTTCCAACGATTACCTGTAAAGTTAAATGATTTGCAAACACTTTTCCAATATACATTTGTAAATTTCCTTGTGCCAATAGCATAAGTACGTATTTCGAATTCATCATAACAGATTGAAAATAGATCTTTCGAGTAAACAGTACTGAATTATCACTAGTAACCGATATCCCGCCAGTAGAACGCATAACAAAACTAATAATACAAATATCAACACTGACAGACCAGACAAAATGCATTTATGTAAATATATTAATTATGACTTAAAATCTCATCTTGAATATCTTCTTAGTAAAATTTCAAAACATGGAAGGAAAAAAGATTAATATCGGATAGTTTTGTAAAATATTGCAAAAAAAAAAACCATCTGGAGCAGAAAAATTAATATAAAGCTACACTAGTAATTAGCACCCTGCAACATACATTCATAAAACAATACGGATGATTGATGATGAAGGGTGTTACGTGATGAAATGCACATTGAGTTACATGCATGATCTACCATACGCAATATACGCATTTCATACAAATGAGTTATTTCATTGTTCTTTCAATTAGCCAGCTGATTATTGATTAAATATTATTCACACTTGAGATACGAGTAATATCTAAAATCTCCATCAGTTGAGTCACGTCTCCAGCAGTGATCCTCTCTGTTGAGTCACATTTCCAACAATAATCGTCTTTGTTGAACGAAGTCTCCAAAAGCAATTGTCTCTGTTGAGTCATATCTCCAACAGCGGTTGTCTCTCTTGAGTGACATCTTTAACAGCGATTGTCTCTGTTGCATCTTGTTTCCAACGGTGATCATCTCTGTTGAGTCATGTCTCCAAAAGTGATTGTCTCTGTTGGGTCATATCTTCAACATTGACCATCTCTGTTGAGTCACATTTTCAATGGCAAATGTCTCTATTGAGTCATATCTCCAACAGCGATTGTATCTGTTGAGTGACATTTCAGCTGCGATCATTTCTATTGAGTCAAATCCCCAACAGTAATCGTCACTGTTGACATAAGCTATTTAAATTTACATAGTGTCATAGCTGATACATATGTGGAACCAAATTAACTCTATCTTTTCAACCACACAAAGAAATCTAAATGTTCATATGAAAAAAATGTTCTCTGCACGGAAACATTGAGTATTCATATTAAAATATTCAGTCATAAAACGGCAGATATCACTACAACAGTTATATCTTGTAAAATGTAATTGTATTACATTTGATTCAATTAGATTTCTTGACATAAAGACCCATGTGTTTCATAATATTGTACATACACAAACATCTCTTTTGATTGTTCAATAAACCTTAGCATGAAAATCCACTGTTGCTACATAAAAACCATAAATCTTTATGGTAAATGTCCAAGCAAAAATATCACAAATATAAGCGTTGCGTCAATAACATAAATACATATAAAATCATTTAATGTAAGGGTGATTTCTCAACATTTAAAACTGAGATGTTGTTTTATTTTAAGAATAGGTACACAAAATATTGTCCAAATATTCAAAGTTTACATATACATTCAAGTTATGTAATACACAGACAGTGTAGCCGTTAAGCAATACAACTCTGTTACTACTCCCGATTCGCATATTCTCAACTAACTATTCACAAAACTGTTGCATTCATTGAAGTGCAACACTATATTTGTCATCTAACCAGGGGTGGCGTAACCAGATGTTAATTCTGGTGTCTGATTGGGGTTGTGTGGAAGGAAGTAGAGGAACCCCTGCAGATACAGAATAAGGTAATGAAAATATTCAAATTTACAGTATATTAATTCATTTTTCTCCTTCAAGGGAAGTTTTAATATTGATTTAAATATCCAATATTTTATTAGCATTTTAAGTTTTCCCCAATACACATACTTTTGGCAGCTACGTTATTGAGTTACAGAAATATAACACTGATAGAAGTGGGTTGTCACGCTGAATTTCAACATTACTACCGCCACATATGGAACCTTTACGTTTTTGGTTACAATCATATGAATGCCATGGACCTACACCATCCATATATTTTTACAAAAATAAATCTGAATAAACTAAAAGCCACTGTTGTTGGTAGTGCTCCCATATCTCATTACAATACTGTAATCAATAATTTGTTTTGCTGTTTGGTTTGGAAATGGAAAATCATCCAGATAAAATTGATAAAGATATGGCTTTAAGCTTCCTTACAACTGTTATACATTGTTTGATGGTAGTGTGTCTGTAAACCTGTATGTTATTTTACAGAACTGTAATTTATATAGTGATTCAACTGAAATTTATTTTAAAACATCAAACTAAGCAATACTGGTTGACATGTTATCTGAAGGCAAAGATGTAAGAATATAATACTGGCTATGTTGCACATACACACAAATTTCGTTCACTAAGTGTGCCACACTTGTACCATTGATGTAGAACTATGTGTTGGCTGACATTGCCTTACGAACTTGTAACTTATGTTGATGTCACAGTAAAAAGACACGACATTCCACAGTAACAACATCAGTGGCTGAAGCTGTAATGATGGTTCCTATCATACAAATTGTCATTATACAACAGTTTCTGATTCATTGTACTGCTTCGTTTTCCTCCTCCCGTTCATCACCCCAGTTTCGAGGTGCACCACCACGCTTATTCATGATTTCCCTTTTCCATGCTGGTAATGAAGCGTCTTCCTCCTCCATCATTTTTTCTTCTGCTATCTGTTGTCTCTTCTCTTCCTTCCTTCTCTGCTCTTCTTCCTTTTGCTGCAAATACACAGATCAACAAATTAAATTTTTGCCGATGTCATATCCAGTCTCGTACCTCACTGGCAGAAACTACCTGCACCAAATCTTCAACAATATCTCTGAAAATTAGGATCAAATTAAAGCCGACACATTAACTGTCAACATTTCAAGAATAATCTTTTGCTTTGTTTTTTGTTTTGAAGATTCATATAAAGTGGACTCATCTGGTTGTAATTCACAGCATATCAAACATGTACATTGTTGTTGGAATAATCCCAAACAGATATGATAAAGTTTGATAAAAAGGCAATTTCATTTCCATGCAAAGCAAATTGTAGCTTTGATTAGATTTTTGAGGTTGTTATTTCTGCATTTTTTGCCTACATTTATCTTCATCACATTTCTATAGAGAAACATGAAAATGAAATACATCATCCCGGTGGTAGGTCTCCTGTCCAGATATCTGTGATTCCTTTACCAGAAAAATAAAACTAGGCACACTTGCATCAATGCATTGTTCAGGGACAGAATTCTTTCCATACTGAAAGAAATTACTTTACTCTGACATCTGAGAGAGCCAATCTGAGCAAATACTCATGGACATTGACAAAAATAACATAATTCCTGACTATGACTAAAGTTGAAAATTGTTTTTCTTGTAGATCTAGTTGACACTGTTTACGATCTCATCATGCTGCTGTCGAATAGACAGTTTGATCGTTTTTTTTTTTTTTTATTATTATTTTCTCCCTTCTATTTCAGAGAGGTACAATAAGCCAACAATATGCCAGGCACTGTAGCTAAAATAACTTTTCCTTTTTCTTTCTGCCGTTTCAGAGAGGTACAAAAATATAAATAAAAATAACTACAAAAATAAAGTAATGATCTCATCACTCTGCCTTCAAAAATGAAGTTTGGCCATTTTCCTTTTTCTTTCTGCCGTTTCAGAGAGGTACAATAAGCCAACAATATGCCAGGCACTGTAGCTAAAATAACTACAAAAATAAAATAAAGTAATGATCTCATCACTCTGCCTTCAAAAATGAAGTTTGACAGTTTTTCTTCCTGCTAATTCTGAGAAGTATGATAAGCCAGTGATTACGCTAGGCATTGAAGGTAAAATAACCACGACACACAAAGCTTCAAGTGTAAACGCGGGGGAAACAAAGCACATCGACAAAAGTCCATAATTAAACTAAGACAATGAAAGACATGAATATCCCTGCTCCAATGTAGAAATATCATAGTTGGACAAATTTGTAGTCGTCAAATGTGTCCTCTGATCTTCAGCCTTGACCGATGACAACCTTAGAATAGTAAAACAAAATTTTGGGAGAATACAAACTGTAGATTACTGACATTTCAAGGATATGTATTTAGATACAAGTGCACAAAGATTTATCAGTTGTAGGAAGTTAAGAATAATATGAGATTTTTTCCCCACTCTTTTTATTTCTAAAATCTGATGTGACATTGTGATATCAAATCATACCAACCAAAACCTGTAACCAGTGGAAGATAAGATTTGTTTAAACACATGAATGTTCATACAGGAGAGGTTCGACACATGAAATTGTATATCCAAAACCATGTGCCACTCCAGTGAATACAACATGAAGAGCAAAACAAAAAAAGAATTCCATTTGAAAACTTCATTAATTTAAATAATAAGTAAAATAAATAGATTAAATGTGAAATGTATACACACAAATGTATAACAAATTATAATGATAAAACAATAGTAATCTGACCGCTGTGAACCTTGAGTATTTGTTTAGCTATTTTCCGTTAAAAAATCTTGTGATGAAAAAGTGCTTTGTTCAGACCAAACAGACAAATTTATTCCAATGCTTGAAAAATAAAATAAAACAATCTGAAAAGTTCTTTAACTAATCTGTTAGTTTATCATTTTGGGAAAGCAATACTTAGCATTGTTGGTTTATATTTCAATTTTATGAACAAATACTCAAGGGAAAGCTGTAAAAGTAAAGAAACATGCAAGTGCTGATGTAATAAGCATTGGGTATGTTATAGAGAGTTGTTTGTGGCAGTACTGGGACACGAGCTTTAATGATATGTCTTACAATACCACCAGGTGAGATAAGTGACGTCCTTTTCTCCTTTACCTGATGACAAATAAAGGAGGAAAGCAGGTAAGGTAAGGAAGATTTTGTATCAGGTATATATAACTTCTTTATCTTACTTAATATGCATAGCGAACATGTTATGAATATGCATAACTTAATAATTTTACTGTGAATATTCATTACTTGAAAAATAATTATGGATTATACTTGAATAAATATTTACCATTTAACATAAAGAACTACATTCAAATATGTTTTCATTCAATGCATAATTTCAAGATTAGCAATGGTTAGTATATTAGCATCAAAATGCTTGTTATTTCTAAATATATGTAATTAACATGCTTTAAGGACTAGACGTGTTTTAATTCAATCACAGACCACTTAAAATCCAATAATTGTATTCCAAAAACTTGAGTATATGGTGTGAAGTTTATAGGAACTAAAACAGGGGCCTCTACTTCTGATTAAACATTACTACTGTCTTTACCCGCAACAAAAATAACAGTTATGGTAATATAACCAGTGTTACCCGTCACCGCGCAACAAAAATAACAGTTATGGTAATATAACCAGTGTTACCCGTCACCGCGCAACAAAAATAACAGTTATGGTAATATAACCAGTGTTACCCGTCACCGCGCAACAAAAATAACAGTTATGGAAATATACCCAATGTTACCCGTATATTTGTGAGTACATCTTTTATATAATATTGCATAATACAATGTTTTGTGTTTTATGAATATACCGGTGTGATTGGAGGTTGAGCGGGACTGATGGTTTGTGAACTAGGCTCTACGGCCTTCACCTCCTTTTCCGGTGATGTAACGATAGGCTTCACCTCTTTAACCTAGAGATGAATAAAGGTAAGAATCATCTAAAAGAAGGTAAATCACTTATTCAACACCGCCACCTGTGGTTATACATCTTGTAACAAATTGTCTTCACTTGATCCTTCACCAAAGATTCTCATGTAAATATATAATGTTTAAGTAAGAACAGTTCAGGATTTTCGTAGTTAAATGATCTTGTTTCATAACCTTAAACCTGATTTTTTCAATTATCTAAATTTTTGATATTGTAGTAACATAAAGGTTTACAGATACTAAGTATATAATTTAGTATTCCACAGATACATGTTTTAATAAAGTACCGGAGTGACAGGCTGTTGTTCAGGACTGATCTTTGCATTTGTTCTTTCCAAAATCTCCGCATCGGAGAGAATCCGAATCTTCTTTTTCTCTTTTGCCTGGTGATGAATAAAGTATAACACTTGCATGCATGTGGACGTCAGCTGACAATTTCACCATCAGACTGTACAGGTGCACAGTATCAATTTTTCAAGAAGACTAAAGACATACATAATATCAAATTGAATTGTTCATTGTGAAGTGCAGGTGTAATTCTTGACAAGTGTTGAATGGATGCTATGTGTTGTGATGTGAATAGAGGTCTAATAAGGATGAGGTAACAAAACCGCATGGGCGAAACACTCGTTGGACAGAATTCCTATATGAACAGGGTAAAATATCACAATGTAGGACAACCTTTCACTGGATAAACTCTACATGTCGGGGACTCATCACCTTCACACAGGTACAAAGTCACAGGTAGGAAATACTTATGGAATTTCTTGCTATGTTACTATGAGAAGAAATTGTAAAAGGACTAAAGGTGAACATATTGTAGAACAAAACTGTGGTATATCTTTTATAAACTTATTTAAAACAAACTGAAAATTATGGAAAATAAACAATGAATTATGAGCTGGCCCAAATTTCCCAAAGCATGAAGAAAGGAACAATTTGTATTTTCACATCTTCTCAACTTTAATGTATTTATTATCATACTTCTTTTTCACTCAGATTTACAAATGGCGTATATTATGTTTTGTCCTAGACCCAATCAGACAATTGCTGGTAGAGATAAATCATCCATCTATGTGGGATTATTGTAGAACAAACATTACGATATTAAATTATATTGAAATAAAGTGACTTTTACTCTCATTTATTATTTGTCTAATTTTCAATATAAAACTGAAACAATAGTGTAAAGATAATAAAATGACAAGGGGACATGTCCCTTTAAATGTAGCTGTAAGGGAAAAATTGCCACATCAGAAAATGGTCGGTGAAAATCAAAGGAGGGACAGAGTTAGTAAAACAAGACATGCTTACTTTTCTTCTTCGTTCTTCTTGCTCCTGAAAAACAAGACGATCACATATGTCTGTTAGTTCATGCCAAACTCTACTTATTAATGAATTATTCTAATTCACCATCATCAGAATTTCTATAAGACATTCACAATTATTCAGGTAATATAGAGTGTTAGATACAAACATCACGATTAACGCCACATGTCAACACAATTTTTCTTTATAACACTGTTAGTATTTAAGTGATATCAAAAATTCTAGTTTCCTGCAGCATTCAGTTGCTATTAAACACAGACAAACAAATTACATTTAGCACAAATTAAGAGAAAATGCTGCTGACAAAAATTTACTTTTTACAACAAAGATAAAGAATATCATTCATATTTTGTAACTGTATAGATATTCAACATTTAATGTTGTCAAATTATTAAGTCTCCCTGTTGACTTCAATATTTTTGGTCCCTAGTATCAATGACGAGTCCTAGAAGGACGAAAACAGTAAAACTAAAGTATTAATTATTCGGGTATGCTGTTCTAAATATAGATTTGCATGGAAAAGCGCTATGTTCACTTATGTCTCTTGAAAAATATGACAAAACTCTAACATATGTCAACAAAAACTAGCTATAACATCTTACAAAGCATTGTACAGTTTTCACTCAAATCGAAACATTTTTGAAATGGGAAGAATCTTGGTTTGGGCTGATCTTTCAATTTTTCAATATTCCAAATACTGTGATTTAATGGATATAAGAAAAAGTCCTAGCTTGCTCTTTTAAAGAAAATTCAAAGATCAAGTAATATGTATCTTTTTGTTTGTATAGGTAAGATCCAAGTATCAAAAAACCCCACATAACATATAAACTATGTTCTTTTAATGAACTGAATATATTACAATATTCCCTCAAAAGTCAACTTAACCCCTTAACTGTTCCAACCTTTTTTTTTATTCACTTTCAGATGTTACACAATTACAACTTTTATCTTTAATAAAAAACAAAACTAAACAAACAAAACAAAAGGATGCAATCATGCAAATACATTTTGCAAATATCACTCCTTTCACGCACAAAATCAAAGTTTAACTCTTAAAATGGTGCTGCCATTGTAGTGACATTCAAGACCTTTCTTTTCATGTGGGGAAGTTTTAACAGAGCAGATCACAAACATATCTTGTATAACGAAAAGGTGACACTGTGAGTTGTTGATTGAAAAGGCCATGAATAATATAAAGGATTTGCCAAAGTGGTACAGTCAAAGTATGTTTGATTATGGAGGTAAATGAACTAAATGATTTAGAATCCACAAGACAATGAGTCTAAAACACTTCTCACTTCTGGATGAATGGATGTTGTAATGAAAGTTTCTGTTTTGATGGTTCAAATTTTTTTCCCACTATCAAACCCTGAATTACAAAGAATGTACTTTTCATATTATTAATCAAACTATGGTTGTATACATATCTGTTTTGTGCACTTTTATTCTATTTTTCTGAAAAATAAACCCCCTTGATAAATCCTGTCTCATTACAAGCTAAATATGTAATATTGATATCATTAATTTCCACGGTGTGGTATGTATACATGACATAGGTTTTTCAGCTGCAGTTCAACATTTGATAACCTGACTATATAAGACAATACACTTTTAACAGCTTGATGATGTGACAGTTGAACGTGAAAGATGTGCCGATAAAACATGAAGACAGTAAGAAAGAGAAGATAATGGTAAACAGAAATGATTGTTGACAAAATGATACAAACGGAAAATATGGTTAAAGGAATAGAGGATTTGATGACAAAAACACACATGATGGAAGAAAATGAAAGAGCAGGATGAAAGAGACATGAAATGACAATATATCATATTGAAGTATGTCACTATCTAGATTGTATTTCAGATGCTTGTACTCAATATTGTCATATATAGGTCATGCTTTAAAAGCAATAATGGTCATAAGCAAACGATGCAAAACATGCTTTATCAGTTGTCATCAGAATTAAGTCAGAATTCACTAACATCGACAGTCATCAGAAAGTTTGTTCTGGGTGATGTGTGACTAGTATATGTCATGCTTTACAAGCTTGGACAGTCATCAGAAAGCTTGTTCTGGGTGATGTGTGACCAGTATGTCATGCTTTACAAGCTTGGACAGTCATCAGAAAGCTTGTTCTGGGTGATGTGTGACTAGTATATCATGCTTTACAAGTTTGGACAGTCATCAGTAAACTTGTTCTGGGTGATGTTTGACTAGTATGTCATGCTTTACAAGTGTGGACAGTCATCAGAAAGCTTGTTCTGGGTGATATGTGACCAGTATGTCATGTTTTACAAGCTTGGACAGTCATCAGAAAGCTTGTTTTGGGTGATGTGTGACCAGTATGTCATGCTTTACAAGTGTGGACAGTCATCAGAAAGCTTGTTCTGGGTGATATGTGACCAGTATAAGTCATGCTTTACAAGTTTGGCCAGTCATCAGAAAGCTTGTTCTGGGTGATGTGTGACCAGTATGTCATGCTTTACAAGTGTGGACAGTCATCAGAAAGCTTGTTCTGGGTGATATGTGACCAGTATGTCATGTTTTACAAGCTTGGACAGTCATCAGAAAGCTTGTTTTGGGTGATGTGTGACCAGTATGTCATGCTTTACAAGTTTGGACAGTCATCAGTAAACTTGGTTTGGGTGATGTGTGACCAGTATGTCATGCTTTACAAGCTTGGACAGTCATCAGAAAGCTTGTTCTGGGTGATATGTGACCAGTATGTCATGCTTTACAAGCTTGGACAGTCAGCTGGGATGAATATAGTCAGAAACACAAAGTTGCAGATATCTAGTGAGAAAGGTGTGATAGAGTGGAAAAGGCGGAAGATACATTATATTCCTCGACAAAGTCTTACCCTGATCGCCTGATGAAGAAACAAACCAAAAATAACAGTTAATGTTAGATATGAAATCATGTTAAAAACAGAGGATGAAAACGACTGAACAATAGATAAAATGTATATTTTTTTAATTATTGATCATATTTGATGTAATATGGTAACATCTCTCCAGGAGAATTTCTAACTTTTCACGGGAAGGCCAGCTTTATTTTCGACCAACTCCAATATACAACATTGATTCTGCCGAGGGAAGATTTTGTGTACTATTGGGCAGGGTGTTCAATTTCACAAAGGGGCAATGGTAATGTCACGGGAGCAGAAATATTTCTGATATACGATTTTATGACAGCATTGATATAAAATGAGGACACTAGAAATAATCACATCAAATATGAAACTACAGTTATGTTACATTACAAAATAAACCACTTAAAACTGTGTTAGTTATTCATTTTCATGATAAACTTCGGGGAAGGGTGTGGGAATGGGGATGGGTGGGTGGGGGGGGGGGGGGGGGGGGGGGGTGGGAATGGGGTGGGGTGGGGTGGGATGGGAATGGGGGGGGGGGGGGGGGGTTGGAGGGGAAGGGGGTGTTATGGAACATACTTTAAGAAGCAGTAAAGAAATGTATACTATGAATTGAAATCTTCATTGATTGGAAAAAAATGGCTGGCACTGATACAAACTTTCAGTGATGACACAAAACAAAGAATGATTTTCTAGATGAATAATACACCTGAACAGGTGAAGGACACCTAGGACTAAACATGCTTTTAAAATGAGTTGAAACAACAGATATATATACGTACTGCATTTGTTTTCATTTCATCCTCTTCTCTTTTAGCCTTTTCTTTTTCGATTAATAATTTTCTTTTCCAATCTGGTACATTTTTCCATTTTTCTTCTTCAGCTTTCCGCCTCCTCATCTCAGTCTGGAAAGGGAAATTAATATTGAAGGAAAATCAATACATTGATGATGATGAACTCCAAACCAAAGCATGTTTGTCAGCTTCAAATAAAATATTTTCTTTTTTTACAGCTTTGACATGATTCCATTAAAAATCCAGTCAAGATGAAACCTCAGCTTGGTTATATTATCACTTTTGAAGTATGAATTTTCACTCACTATTACAACATCAAACTTTAGTTTGACTGCAGGTTTGATTGCAGGTAGGTTTGATTGCAGGTTTGACTGCAGGTTTGATTGCAGGTAGGTTTGATTGCAGGTTTGACTGCAGGTTTGATTGCAGGTAGGTTTGATTGCAGGTTTGACTGCAGGTTTGATTGCAGGTAGGTTTGATTGCAGGTTTGATTGCAGGTAGGTTTGATTGCAGGTTTGATTGCAGGTAGGTTTGATTGCAGGTAGGTTTGACTGCAGGTTTGATTGCAGGTAGGTTTGACTGCAGGTAGGTTTGATTGCAGGTAGGTTTGATTGCAGGTTTGATTGCAGGTAGGTGGCAAGTAATTTCAAGCTTACATGATACAGACATCAATTGTGCTGTAAACAGGGATACATTTACCAGGTTATATTTTTGTTACTTGGATCAAAATTATTTTTTTTCCTCATTGTTATATTCAACCTTAAATACCTACAAATAATCATTTCTGTTGTAGTAGCAAACATTCACCTATCTTCTATTGGTCTAATGGGAAAGAATTGAAATAAGGCAAAAATTTCCTTTGTATACAGTATTTCTCTGTCGTTGAGTAAGTTTATCAATAGATTGGAACAAATGTTGAAATAGGGAAAGGAAAGAAGATAATGCTTCACAGTGTACTGTGGAATAATTGATAAAATCTATCTGATTTTTTAATCTTTGATGCAGACTTCAACAAAACCTTGAATTATGTATAACATCAAGTCTAATGGTTGGTTGGTTTATTAGGTAACAACTTGTTTTCCTGAATTGTCTTATAGCTTCACCAATCACACAACAGTAACTTCCTCCCTGAACTGCTAATGATCTGGTATCTCATTACTTATTCATTGGGCTGACAACAGTTTTATGGTGCCTGACTCTAACATGCGAGAGTGTATCTCCAGGGAGATAACTCTCACGCCATCTGTTGCTGTATTCTCAAGACCTTGAGATTGTAATGACTGTAGCTTTACTACAGCTTTTAAGGTCTGTCTTGTGATAACCTCTTCTACAATGTAAAAGGGAGTTTACATGGAAATCCAAGGCATGTTGAGACCTGGATTTATTTATCTATTTTTAGAACCTGATGTAGGTTATAGATATTGTCATTTCATCCTATGTACTGGAAGTTTCCAACTTGCATCACAACCGTTCATATCTTCTCTCATAAGCTAATTTTTCTTGTATGTCTCCATTTTCAATGTCTGGCCCCAAAAGAGATGTTTTTTCTTCAATTTATATTCCATAATCTATGATTGTGTTTGCGGTTTCATTTTTGAGCTCATTTATTTAAATTATCATGAAGTGTTTCAGTTTATCAGGGAACGACTTCTCAGATTATGATAGAGAACTAATGACAAGAAACTGTTTGTAGTTTCAGTCTTTTCTTGATGAGAAACTTACCAAATATTCCTCTAACTTTTCTCTGTTCTTCTTTTCCACCATGTCTTTCTTCCAGTTAGGTATTGAAGAATTGATTGGGGTATAACCTGGAATTTGGCTGAAGTCTGTAAATTAAAAACATATCATATTTACATGTTTTATTGTATTGAGATACAGTTGAATAGAATATAAGGAATATTTCAAGAAACTAATTATATTAGAAATTTGCTTTCATGCATAATGATATAAAAGAGCGTTTATAGATGTGTACACATATAAAGTCACAAGAAAACTGGACACTTCCAGCATCACATAGAAAACTGGACACCATCATTGTCACAGAGATAAAACCCTGAGAAGAAAGCCTGAGGACCAACACATGACCTCTGACTCGAGAGAGCTTATTACAGGACAACATACCAAGAGTTCAAACAAATGACCTGTGACTTAAGAGAGCTTATTACAGGACAACATACCAAGAGTTCAAACAAATGACCTGTGACTTAAGAGAGCTTATTACAGGACAACATACCAAGAGTTCAAACAAATGACCTGTGACTTAAGAGAGCTTATTACAGGACAACATACCAAGAGTTCAAACAAATGACCTGTGACTTAAGAGAGCTTATTACAGGAGAGTTCAAACAAATGACTTGACTTAAGAGAGCTTACAGGACAACATACCAAGAGTTCAAACAAATGACCTGTGACTTAAGAGAGCTTATTACAGGACAACATACCAAGAGTTCAAACAAATGACCTGTGACTTAAGAGAGCTTATTACAGGACAACATACCAAGAGAGAGCTTATTACAGGACAACATACCAAGAGTTCAAACAAATGACCTGACCTGAGACTTATTACAGGACAACATAAGAGAGCTTATTACAGGACAACATACCAAGAGTTCTTAAACAAACAAATGACCTGTGACTTAAGAGAGCTTATTACAGGACAACATACCAAGAGAGAGCTTATTACAGGACAACATACCAAGAGTTCAAACAAATGACCTGTGACTTAAGAGAGCTTATTACAGGACAACATACCAAGAGTTCAAACAAATGACCTGTGACTTAAGAGAGCTTATTACAGGACAACATACCAAGAGTTCAAACAAATGACCTGTGACTTAAGAGAGCTTATTAACAACATGACCTTCAAACAAATGACCTGTGAGAGAGCTTACCTTGACTTAAGAGAGCTTATTACAGGACAACATACCAAGAGTTCAAACACATGACCTCTGACTCGAGAGAGCTTATTACAGGACAATGGCCTACTTTTTCAGCATTTCTTCATGAACCGCAATAGATATGAGTTGACCTATTACCAGACAAAGTCTCTTTGCTTATGAGACCATGTGTTGTCTGGATACTTATAACTTACCTATTTCATCCAAGTCTATCTCCATGCTGGAAAGACTGGAGTTGCTACCTATAAAAAACAAGAAATGAAAACGGGATAAAATAATTTAATCGAACTGTTTAACAGTTCAAAGTAATGATTCTGTTGCCACTTACAAGATTTCTGTTTTGGTTCATTTTTGTAAATGTCAGATGGTACAGTGAAAATATCATAAGCATGTTTGTAGATAGAAAGCTGATGATGTAATCAGGTAAATTAAACATTACATACAATTTATATGGTAAACTAGAAAAATGTCTGCAGGACATGAATACAAAAATCAATTTGATCAATTTACACAAGTTATTGAATGTGGCCTTTGACCCTTGAACATTAACCAATGAAACCTTGATAAATAGAATTTGATATCAGGATATAATGGGATTGATATGAACCAAATCTTTTGACACACAAACCTTATATGTCCCACATAAATTGGAGATGGGGAATAAAAAAAACCCTGAGATAATAGATGTGTAAGAAGCAAATTGATTAGAATTTGTCAGGACTGGAGAAGAAAAGGCAAAAATCCTCCATTTGTTTACAGCTATTGTAAACACTTTACATCAATTTTTCAACATGTGTGTACAGAAATAACACATCCATCCCATACCTCCAAACATATCTTTCTGTTGATAAAGAATTTAAATTGGAAATAAATTAAGACATCTATGAAAAAAAAGTTGACAATTCCTAGAGAGAAGGTATGTATCTGGTGCATGTCTGGGCCATTGACTACTACACTGATTTTATCTGTGTGTTGTTACATGTGGGCAGGTTACACCACATTCCTGTGATGGAGGCCTACATGCCTGTACAATACAGATCTCTCTTCCCTACTCTAAGATTATAAGTGAGCTGATACAGACAGACCTCTTCACTACAGACTTGTGGTTACCTCTTCAAATGGGAAGTACATTTCTTTCTTACATATCTGCAGTATGAAAAGGGCATCTTATCAGAAGAACTATGACTCCAGTTGTTACCAGGCTCAGCATAAACTAATGTTACAGGGATCTCGATCCAGATTCACGAATCTCCCTTCACTTAAGGAATTTTTCCTCACTCAAAATTCCCAATAGGAAAGCATTTCATAATTTAAGAAAATTTCCTTGAATTTATGTTTTTCCTGAACTCATGTACTGCTTTTCTATGATAGTAAAGATTTCCTTATGCTTAGGGAAATTCATGAAAATGGGGCCAGGTGTCTTTTTGTAGATAGCCTCACTGTTTTAGCAGTCATTTTCTAGTAGTAAAATTATTCAAATAGGACTTTTGCAGGGAATTCGCATAATGAAACTTTTCCAAAGTATATACATAGATAGTAATGATGAAATTTAATTAAGATCCTATTCTACAACAAAATTCAATTCTTCTTTGTATGTGATTATGATGTCAATTATAGTAGAACAAAATACTCATGCATTCTCCACAATTAATAAGGACTGTTGTTTGACAATTTCCTTTCAGTAATAATTACCATAACTTCAGTATGCTTTAGCACGTAAATACAGTACCCGCATCCTCTTTGTAGCCCAAAAGCGAAAGACTAAAAAATCCCACCCTCCTGACAGTCTGGTGAACCATTACTGAAGTTAGCACCCTAAAGTTATGGTAAGTATTGCATCATGAAAATTAGTTTTAAAAAAAATCAAAATTACAAAAAAACCCGTTAAATTTCTATATAATGATAACCTAGACTTGAGAACACAAAAACATAAACTTATTCTCATACAATGTTCCACAATGTTCTACAATGTAGCTGACATTTCTAAATGGTAGAAAGTTTCATTAAAATCGCTAATGAATTAAAAGCCACTAGATTGATAACATTGAGAGTAGAACAAGAAGAACATTTGCATTTTTCACTTTGGCATCAAAAGTCGCATTTCCCGGTCTTGTAGTAATGAGTGTAAATGCAAAATCTAACGTAACATTAGTAATTGTTGAAGCAGTCTGCGACCAAACACAACATGTTATCATCCTGACTGCTACCATTGTTAGGGCCTGCACTTTGGATTTTATCAGCATCCGTTTGAAGTCTGAGGAGTGTTGAAATTGTACAGTGTGCAAACATGTACCATACACACCTCAGATAACCCCACAATCCAACTTTGAAATTGGAATCCCTTTAATGGAAATGATCTCATCAGCAACCATCTTAAAATGTCATCCCATGTTTGATTTGATACTATAACTATGAAACCAATCCCTCTTTATTTTAAATATTTCTTTTAAAAGTCATAAAAATAATGAACCATGCAGTAAATTCAAGCAGAGGATAGTACTCATGGTCATATCTGATTGAAAAAACCCACTGACAAGTGATTATGCTATGTTCAAATAATCCCTCAAAATTTCTAAAATTTTCTACTACTACCATTACTGTTACTACTACCATTACTGCTACTACTACCATTACTGTTACTACTACCATTACTGCTACTACTACCATTACTGTTACTACTACCATTACTGCTACTACTACCATTACTGCTACTACTACCATTACTGTTACTACTACCATTACTGTTACTACTACCATTACTGTTACTACTACCATTACTGTTACTACTACCATTACTGTTACTACTACCATTACTGCTACTACTACCATTACTGTTACTACTACCATTACTGTTACTACTACCATTACTGTTACTACTACCATTACTGTTACTACTACCATTACTGCTACTACTACCATTACTGCTACTACTACCATTACTGCTACTACTACCATTACTGCTACTACTACCATTACTGCTACTACTACCATTACTGCTACTACTACCATTACTGTTACTACTACCATTACTGTTACTACTACCATTACTGCTACTGCTACTACTACCATTACTGTTACTACTACCATTACTGTTACTACTACCATTACTGCTACTACTACCATTACTGTTACTACTACCATTACTGTTACTACTACCATTACTGCTACTACTACCATTACTGTTACTACTAAATACTCCTTGTTTGAAACTTCAGTCAGAGATACCCAAGAGATCAGAGCTATATCATGGTCTCTGTATATAGTAAAGAATCTGAGGACAATAAAGGGCCAGTCTTTATAAGATCACCATTGAAGACAAACATGTAAGGCAGTCATATATAATTATATACCTTTCCTTAAAATAGTATTAAAAACATGCGAGTCTGTTTTTACAGACATTTTCAATCAGAAATATGATTGATTTTTGGGGGTTTTCATGCAATGAAATTAGATCAAATTGGCTTCAGTTCTGTTTTTTAAAATTCATTATAGACCCCTCTACTTCAGAAAACTTGCTACTATGGTTAAAAATAAGTAAAGAACATGGGTGTAAGGCACTTCCAGAGGTGAATAACATTGTTGGTAAAATTAGTGATATCCTATGTATATTGATGTGGTACACGTGCTACTGATTATAAAGATCATCATTAATCCCTGTACTCTTTAATGGAGATTTCATATCATTGGTTCTTCTATATCTACAGGCTCCATCAAAGTTACAGCAACATATTCTATCTCTATGGAAACCAAGCATCAGAGTCTGATGCACACGACTGATCCGTGGTCAGGAAGCTGGAAATTCTGTTGGCAGTTGGTGGAAAAATTCTCAAAGTTTTAAACAATAATTATCATTATGATCTATTAGTGAAACTGCTGTGTGGAACCATGTCAATCTATAATGAGGATGATTCCGGATCGCCACCACATTTTGAGTTGTACTTAAAATATATCTAAATATTTGCAGCTCATTAGATTTAAAAAACATTGAATCCTGACTATATTACAGACATTACCACACTACATTGTTTTTTGTTTCTTCATCTATGTTTCTCCAAAAAAACAATTCTGGCAGTTTTCAGACACCTTGTGTCCACAAATATTGTGTGGAATACCTCTTCACTTAATGTATTTTGATGTTTTGAAAAACACCATATGATGTTGCTATGGTAACTTGGTGAGACGTATAGATCTAAACACTGAAGCACATTATTTAATTATACATGTTTCCACTTTACCCTCTCTGTTTTATCTCAAGCATTTAGGAGGAGATAGATTGAAAACAAAATGCACATAGATACATGTTAAAAAAGTATATATACACACCAGAAAAAGGTCATATAAAGGTCATCAGCTCTGTGACACATAACACTTCCACTCTACTGCAAAAGTTTCACATCCTTCTAAGTTCTTATTCTCATCTAGTTTGACCTATTTGATACCAAAATCTCCTTCATCATACATATAGAAATCTAGTATGTGATATGAAATACTGTAATCTTAATGGGTATGTGAGAAAACTTCTCTAACAGTCATTCTGACAAAGGAGTTATTTTTACATGAAGTACCAAGTAAATCTTAAGTTTACAGATATGATAATGCATGCATGTTATGTAAAGGTCATGCAAAGGTCATCTGCACATGTGCAAGATCACATGTTAAACCTGAAGGTCATCGGTAAATCTTCTACTAGTTCTTCTATTGTGAGGCCGAACAGTTTATTTTTTCTCTCGAAACATGTCATCCAGATTTCAGTAAGTTGATCACAATAACATTAAAAACAGCACCTGCATACATTAAACTTTTCAAAGATGATATACCTTCAAGCAACCTTGATGAATTCACTGCATCCAAAACCCTCCAGCAAGAACACAGGTTTATCTCCCATCACCTCCCTAGCTTTGTTAAATATTAACAGTTTCAAGGGAATCGTCAAGTACACACAATTGTTGAGTACATAAAATTTTGTATTTCAGATAACCCATCCTACCTTGGTCCTTGTTGCTCTGTGAATTCCCCATTTTGTGGTAGTTAGACTTGCTCAGGACAAACTGTTTTGGTATTTTTTTGTCTTTATTTCTACACTAGCACACACACGTAGCATCAAAGTACGTGTGTTTTTACTCCATACACATATTTTTCTACTTTACTAAAGTGACGATATCAGCATGCAGTACATATGAGGGTCGTTCTAATGCTTCCTAGCTAAATACTGGTATTAAACAGAGATTTTTCGATGATAAAA